TATTATATTTGGTAGTAACATGTATAATTATATTATGCTTGAAAGTAAAATGTATAATTATTCTATATTTGGTAGTAAAATGTATATTTATATTATATTTGGTAGTAAAATGTATAATTATATTATATTTGGTAGTAAAATGTATGACTATATTATATTTGATAGTACAATGTATGATTATATTATATTTGGTATAGTAAAATGTATAATTATATTATATTTGATAGTACAATGTATGATTATATTATATTTGGTAGTAACATGTAAAATTATATTATATTTAGAAGTAAAATGTATAATTATATTATATTTGGTAGTAAAATGTATAAACTATATTATATTTGGTAGTAAAATGTATAATTTTATAATATTTGGTAGTAAAATGTATGATTATATTATATTTGGTAGAAAATATTTACATGTAATTATATTATATTTAGAAGTAAAATGTATAATTATATTATATTTGGTAGTAAAATGTAAAACTATATTATATTCGGTAGTAAAATGTATGATAATTTTATATTTGGTAGAAAATGTTTACAAGTAATTATATCATATTTAGAAGTAAAATGTATAATTATATTATATTTGGTAGTAAAATGTAAAATTATATTATATTTGGTAGTAAAATGTATAATTTTATAATATTTGGTAGTAAAATGTATGATTATATTATATTTGGTAGTAAAATGTATGATTATATTATATTTGATAGTACAATGTATGATTATATTATATTTGGTAGTAACATGTATAATTATATTTAGTAGTTAAATGTATAATTTTATAATATTTGGTAGTAAAATGTATAATTATATTATATTTGGTAGTAAAATGTATAATTATATTATATTTGGTAGTAAAATGTATAATTTTATAATATTTGGTAGTACAATGTATGATTATATTATATTTGGTAGTAACATGTAAAATTATATTATATTTAGAAGTAAAATGTATAATTATATTATATTTGGTAGTAAAATGAATGAGTATATTATATTTGGTAGAAAATGTTTACATGTAATTACATTATATTTAGAAGTAAAATGTATAATTATATTATATTTGGTAGTTAAATGTTAAACTTTATTATATTTGGTAGTAAAATTTATGATTATATTATATTTGGTAGTAACATGTATAATTATATTATGTTTGAAAGTAAAATGTATAATTATTCTATATTTGGTAGTAAAATGTATATTTATATTATATTTGGTAGTAAAATGTATAATTATATTATATTTGGTAGTAAAATGTATGACTATATTATATTTGATAGTACAATGTATGATTATATTATATTTGGTAGTAAAATGTATGATTATATTATATTTGATAGTACAATGTATGATTATATTATATTTAGAAGGAACATGTAAAATTATATTATATTTAGAAGTAAAATGTATAATTATATTATATTTGGTAGTAAAATGTATAAACTATATTATATTTGGTAGTAAAATGTATAATTTTATAATATTTGGTAGTAAAATGTATGATTATATTATATTTGGTAGAAAATATTTACATGTAATTATATTATATTTAGAAGTAAAATGTATAATTATATTATATTTGGTAGTAAAATGTAAAACTATATTATATTCGGTAGTAAAATGTATGATAATTTTATATTTGGTAGAAAATGTTTACAAGTAATTATATCATATTTAGAAGTAAAATGTATAATTATATTATATTTGGTAGTAAAATGTAAAATTATATTATATTTGGTAGTAAAATGTATAATTTTATAATATTTGGTAGTAAAATGTATGATTATATTATATTTGGTAGTAAAATTTATGATTATATTATATTTGATAGTACAATGTATGATTATATTATATTTGGTAGTAACATGTATAATTATATTTAGTAGTTAAATGTATAATTTTATAATATTTGGTAGTAAAATGTATAATTATATTATATTTGGTAGTAAAATGTATAATTATATAATATTTGGTAGTAAAATGTATAATTTTATAATATTTGGTAGTAAAATGAATGATTATATTATATTTCGTAGTAAAATATATGATAATATTATATTTGATAGTACAATGTATGATTATATTATATTTGGTAGTAACATGTATAATTATATTAAATTTTGTAGTAAAATGTATGATTATATTATATTTGATAGTAACATGTATAATTATATTATATTTAGTAGTAAAATGTATAATTTCATAATATTTGGTAGTAAAATGTATAATTATATTATATTTGGTAGTAAAATGTATAATTATATTATATTTGGTAGTAAAATGTATAATTATGTTATATTTGCTAGTAAAAGGTATAATTATATTATATTTGGTATAGTAAAATGTATAATTATATTATAATTGGTAGTAAAATGTATACATGTAATTATATTGTATTTAGTAGTACAATGTATAATTATGAGTACAACATGTTATTCGACTTTGTATATAATGTAAAGATGACATATTTTGTGAGATGGTGTTCTATGTATTCTTGAATAAAAGTTCTGTTCCACCGGTGTCTGTTCTGTTAAGAAACGAAATAAATGGCGACTGACTGGAGAGAATTAAAATAAGATTCATAACCGTCATGTTATTTCTATATGTTATTAGACTTCAGTGCTATGAAGACATCTTAACTCCATGCTAAATTTAAGGACGTCAAGGAGGTCCGAAAGTCTAAAATATATAAAATTTTAATTTTTCACATATATCAACTGGAGCACATAAAATATCGTATGTTTCTGCTATTCCCAGTCCGATTAAAGTGAAAAGCGTTGCAACGCTTTTTAATTTTGGGTCATTTTTCACAATTAGAATAATTATTCTGGAAAAACAGATCAGAGTCAGAGTCAGTGCACATACGTTGTTGGTATTGACTTTCACCAAATTGAGAAAAATCTCTAAAAAAATTCCAGTCCCGCCATGCATGAATAAAAATGCATTTTTATGCCAATCAAGATACATATATTTCTAAAGTATACATAATGCCCCTGGACAATAACCACACACTAATATTTCGTTACGTTTTGTATATGAAAGTTCTATTTGAGCCGCGTCATGACAAAACCAACATAATGGGTTTGCGACCAGCATGGATCCAGACCAGCCTGCGCATCCGCGCAGTCTGATCAGGATCCATGCTGTTCGCTATCTGTTTCTCTACTTGATATAGGGTTTGTAAGCGAACAGCATGGATCCTGATCAGACTGCGCGGATGCGCAGGCTGGTCTGGATCCATGCAGGTTCGCAAACCCACTACGTTGGTTTTGTCGTGACGCGGCTCATTTATTGATTTGCATTTGCTGTTTGTATTGGTGTTCAGGACGCGTAGGAATTCGATAATATTTCTTTATGGCGATTTCGCTCAGTACGAGTACCTACAGTGCAACCTACATGATGGACCAATCGTCTTGCTCTACAGTGAGGTCTACATGTGGACCAATCATCTTGCTCAGAACCAAAACCTACAGTACAACCTTTAAGCTGGTCCAGACGTCTCTCGCTCAGTACCAGTACATAGAAATCAACCTACATGACGAACCAATCGTCTTGCTTAGTACCAGAAGCCACAGTTCAATCTACATGCAGACCAATCGATTTTACTCAGAATTAAGCAGTACCTACAGTGCAACTTTTCCGCTGGACCAATCGTCTTGCTCAGTTCCAGTACCTGCAGCGCAACCTTTACGGTTTACCATATTGTTTTAGTATTTTCTATTATTTGGGGTCATTTTTAGCCTCTCACAACAGCCGCCCCACCTTCAAACCCCCCAAACAGAAGGAGGCACATCCCCCTTCTGGCAACCCCTGATGTATCTTTTGGTTGGGGCCGCGCCGAAAAAGTGGTCACTTTTTTAAACAAAATTTTTCTCAAACAAAAACAAGTGTTGGGGGTCTAAATAAGGCATTTTTTCACCATTTCAGACAACAAAAAGGGGGAGGGGTGAAAAAGGCGTTAAAAGGCGTGTATATCCGGAAATGGGTTAACAGAAAATGATGAAAATACCTGAAATTAGCCAAAATCGCGTTTTCCATATTTAAACATGGCCTAACATATAAATTAGAAGAGAAATTGTTGTTTTGTAGAATTTTTCACATTAACCCATTACTTCATGAGCATTTGGTGAAAAATGGCTGTTTTCATTGCAAAGTCTCCCGTTACAAGTTCAAATTGCTATTAAACTATAAAAACTGCTTCAATACTAATCAAACTTGGCACAAATGTTGACTGGACCATTGTCTATGTAACGACATGCCCAGGCATAAATTTCCTGTTACCATGGCAACGAGGGGACATCTCAAAATTGCCAAAAATCACTATTTTGCGTTGATTTTTTTCCATCAAAATTTATTTATTTCAAAGTGCTGCAACTTCTCAATGGATTGAGATACAGTCAAATGCTTTTCACCGTTGGTTACACGTTACCAAATGATCGATGTGGGGTCATTTTTAGCCTCTCACAAGTCCAAAATTTTCTTGGCGATGAGGGGAACTTCCGCCCCATCTTCACCCCCCCCCAAACAGAAAGGGGCACATCCCCCTTATGGCAACGCCCTGATGTATCTTTTGGTTGGGGGTCCGCGCCGAAAAATTGGTCACTTTTTTTAAACAACATTTCTCAAACAAAAACAAGTGTTGGGGGCCTAAATAAGGCATTTTTCACCATTTGAGACAACAAAAAGGGGGAGGGATAAAAAGGCGTTAAAAGGCGTGTATATCGGGTAATGGGTTAAAAAAAATTTTTTTAAATCCGTACATGAATTATTTTTATTTGCGTCGCGTCTGGCGTCATGTTCTTGACGTGTGTCACTTTCCTGCGCTTCAATGTTAATCAACTACCAAGAGAATATATGTTTCGTTTTTTTTCTCGACATCAAAGTGAAAAATATCCACATTTTTCTCACATCTCAGTGTGATAAATAGAAGACACTCAATGAGTGAAGGTTTTATACTAAATTAAATTACCGGGTTTGAAATAAGTCATATAATGCGCGCCTCATTTTATTTTTGTAAATTTAGCCATGTATTTTCACAAAGTAATCAATGTTTAACCAATTGGTCTCATCATCTTTATATACAAAAAACAGAAACTATGAAAAACGTAGCAAAAATTTCGTATAATTTTCACCATAAAAGGTTGTTGTTTTTTCTGTATGTAAGCACATCTATTGTAATAAAAACTTGTGTAAATACCGAATATTTATCCAGCAAATAAAATAATAAATTGTTTAGTTGTCCTCTAGGCTGGTATCGTTTTATGTCTGTCTGTCTGTCTGTCTGTGTGTGTGTTTTTTTATGGAATCACAGTTTACTTTCTATCTGTCCAATTCTAAATTCCAGTTGTGTTGGCTCGTATCGTCTGAAATATATATAAATAGTGTTTAAAATCAGGTTGTTTGTTCAATATCAATGTTGCGTATCCATATCGTCACCATCTCTATGCAATCTGCTAATTTATAAAATGTACCGTTATCACACATGCACGGGTAATTCTTTGCTAAACACAAATCAGAGATAGGCAGTTCATTCTGATGAAAGGAGGTATTCCATATAATTATGCAAAAGAATTAAAGCATGTAACATCCACAGAACATTTCTTTGATTCCTGTCCATTGCAGATTTGTTTTCAGCAGAGAATAACCCGCACATGTGTAAAATGAGTCCCTATTCCACAATGGGGCAACGATATAGATACGCATTGTGACCTTCGATTTCCGTTTACGATTTTATGGTTATTTAGTTATAAAATGTTCCTGTGCCTTACTATTCGTTTCAATTTTTTTATATTTTAAATATGTATATATACACAAGCGATTCATTGCTTTAAATCAAATAAACTGAACAAAGAGTAACACAATATCAGAAGTTGAAACTGAATGTTTTGGACATTTTAACATGATATGCGGTTTTGACGCAAGCCGTTTAACTATAGCATAACATACTAAGAATGTTTCAATGGATTGGCAAGTGCTAATTGTTTGGGAGTAAAATGTAATTAAATTGGCCTTCCAGATTCTGACAACGTTGATAATTCTTTTAAACACGGTGAAGTTTTTTTTCTGGATTTCAAAAAGTTGATGATTTTTTATCATAATGAAATGCGTATTTCAAAACGTTCCTGCATGTTTTATGACTTGTTTCAATATAAGTTGTCCTTGATAAAATGTGCCTCACTGAACGCACCTGGGTTAGACACTAGTTTCGATGGTTTGAACATAATAAAATGCCATTTACTAAGCGCACCTTGTTTTGGCGCTAGTTTAAATAAATTGACAAAGACCTTGAGCACAGTAAAATGTGCTTTTCTGAATGTACATGGTATTGACGCTAGTTTCAATTTGTTTTCAAAGTTCTTTTGGACTCGTTGAATGTGCCTTATTTTACGTACCTAGTGTTGATGCTAGTTTCAATTTGTTTACAAAGATCCTTTAAATACAGTAAAATATCCCTCACTGGACCTTGTTTTGACACTAGACAAAAATGTGCCTCATCGAACACGCTAGTTTCAATAAGTTTACAAAGATCTTGAACATAGTGTGATTTACTGAACGTTTATAGTTTTACGCTTTTTACAATAAGTTAAATCTATTCCTTTTAGCAACAGTATAATTTCTAACTATACGCACCTGGGTTTGACAAAAGTTTCATTAAGTTGACAACAATCTTTTGGACAGGGTAAAATATGACTTACTGAAAGAAACTGACGATAGTTTCTATTGGCCTACAAATATCATTTAAGACATAGTAAAATTTGATTTACTAAACGTACCTGGTTTTGACGTACAGTGTAATTAGTTAACAAAGATCTTTTGGTCTCGGTATAACATGACTTCCTGAAGGTACCTTTAATGGTTTTTACGCTAGTTTCAATGATTCAACAGAGATCTTTAGGCATAGTTTAAATTGACTCACTGAACGTACCTGGTTTTTAGGCATAGTTTAATTATTTGGCAAATATCTAGGGTGCACACTGAACCAGTCTGATTAAAATCAGTTCGTAATTTACGCTACGCATGCAAGAAATAACTTAAAGACATCTGAACTTGTGTCAGAGATTGGTCACTGAACATACCTGGTTTTAACGCCAGCTTTTTCCAGCATAAGTTTAGAAGCTTGAGTTTCGATTTTAAAATCGTGCTTATCGTCATAATATACCACTTCCGCTATCCCAGCTTGTATTATAATTTTGGCACATTGGTTGCATGGAAACAATGTCACGTATAATTTACAGCCACGGACATCTGAGGAAATTCTGTTTAAGATGGCATTCATCTCCGAGTGACAAACTAAAATATAGAATATGAGACGCGTCACGACAAAACCAACATAATGGGTTTGCGACCAGCATGGATCCAGACCAGCCTGCGCATCCGAGCAGTCTAATCAGGATCCATGTTGTTCCTATCAGTTTATTTACATGTACTTGTTATAGGGTCTGTAAGCGAACAGCATGGATCCTAATCAGACAGCGCGGATGCGCAGGCTGGTCTGGATCCATGCTGGTCGCAAACGCACTATGTTGGTTTTGTCGTGACGCGGCTCATATCAGCACTTCATTCCCTGCCTGTAAAATTTATATGTGTGCATGTATATTGAAGCTTTTTTGTTGGCATGGACAGCCAAAACGGAAAGAATTGTTGTGTAAGTGCTATTATTTGTCGTTCTGTCATGTGAATGTCTTAATCCTTTGTTGACGTGACAACAACACGACACAACGATAGCGTGGCAACACGACATAACGATAGATAAATAGTGACAATACAACACAGTGCCGATTCATCTCGAAAGGCATGTTACATATAAACATTTAATTTTTTTGACAATGCAGAGTTGAAAATGTACATGAACATATAAACGGAAATAAATGGCTATTGAAATGTAAATGTTAATTAAGTAGCTCTTCATAGTAACAATTAGCTAAAGGAAGGAGAATTAACGCTGAAAATAACTGAATCTCAATTGCTACATTTCGATGACCTTGCCTTTATTGATTGTGACATATTAACGTATTTCGTTGTGAAAATCACGTTTACATCTACGGTAATAGGCTAAAAAATTATGTTTGATTCTCGTCAAAATACTCGGTAACCCTTATCACACTTACTTAGTCAGTATAAATGGACCCATCTTTTGGTCTGGACAAAATTACTCATGTCTTAGGGACAATTTCGCAATATAAACTGATGACTATGACCAGACAACACGGATGTGCCGGCTGATCTTGGTCTGCGGCTATGCGCCGGTCGAAGTGTAAAAAACTGTGCCGCCAGCAAGACAACGGTAAATGTCATGGTTCGGAAACACGTGCTAGCGCGCGTATTAAAAACATCATCGTGCATGTGCAGTAACGCAGGAATGTGCATTAAACAAAAGGTTACGCTTAATTTGTGCAAAGCTATGGTCAAAATGAGAAACAGGGTAAGCAAAGGACCAAAATATTTTACCGTAAATCAAATTAAATTTAAAGTTATGATTAATGGCACACAGCTGCTACGACATTATACTTTAAAGCTGCACGCCTCAAGATGAGACAAAATATTTCAAGAAAATCAATATTGAGAAAAATGTAGAAAAATTAAAAAAGGTAAAAATATTGAAGATCCAAGTTATATTTTACATTTTATGTGCGGTTTAAGACTGATTTTGCAGTATTTTATCACCATCTTTCTACTGCGTTACTAACGCAGTAAGGGCAGTTTTTGCATATGTGGACCACTTTTTGGTAATTTTCTTGGATTGTAAGTGCCGATTGCAATATGTAAATTACTTTATTTTGTTCACCTCACAGTATTTAACTTTTAAATACATTTCCAAAATTTGCATGAAAATAAACATGAATCTGGAGGTATGCTGCTTTAACCAGTACTACAAATATTTCCAGGAATATGTTTACAATTTAAGATCGTTCTGAGAAGGAATAATATTCGTCGATATAAAAAAGTACAAAACGCATTTTAAACTTTGTTTTCTTCCTATTTGGTATACCTTAGACATTTGTCATATACTAGTAATACTAGAAGTGGAGCAGAAAGCTGGTAAGATTTGTTTCGGGTACTTTCTATTAGATAACCAGTGTTGCTTTTGGTGCATCATTCACGATTTACGTGTAACCTGGTAAATATTGTCTCACTCACATTTACTTTTTCTCATTTCACACGAGCCAGATTGGCAAAAGTCTTATATTTACCGAATGTCTAAAACCATGATTAAATATACATGTTTAGGTTTTTGTATTCAAAGATATCGCTGAAATCCAGTCACATACGTATTATTAATACGCTTGCAAGCTTATTAGGTCTCAGCAACCGTATGCGCTAATTTATTAAAGGACCCCCCCCCCACACACACACACACACACAAGTGGTTCATTAACTTTTCGTGTAGATTTTTTTTAATTTTGCATTTTACCGCTTTAATCTTATTTCCACCCAAGGCGTATGTCGAAATTTGTAACCTTAACTTAAAAACTCGAATATCGTAGAACTGATATATTACTTTCAGACAATTTTATAACATTTATTGAGCACATTTATCAAAATAGTTATTCTAGAATTTCTATTATAATACGATGTACATTTTTATTTTGACGAAAAAAATGCTGTTTACTTTTCTAAACCAAGTTGATACATATACTAATATATACATGTATATATTTGATATCGTCGCAATCCAATTTTTATGACAACGTTGTAAGTACAAAATCATGTATACACATAAAACTGAAATAAAATTCTTCTATAAGATATATGAATTAAGATAAAAGAGCATAGTGCAAAATGTTTATGGTGTGAGTTGTGCTCACTGCGTGATGTTTATGGCGTGAGTTGTGCTCACTGAGCGATGTTTATGGCGTGTGTTGTGATCACTGAGTGATGTAAATGGCGTGAGTTGTGCTCATTGAGTGATGTTTATGGTGTGAGTTGTGCTAACTGAGCGATGTTTATGGCGTGAGTTGTGATAACTAAGTGATGTTTATGGCGTGAGTTGTACTCACTAAGTGATGTTTATGGCGTGAGTTGTGCTTACTAAGTGATGTTTATGGCGTGAGTTGTGCTCACTGAGCTATGTTAATGATGTGAGTTGTGCTCATTGAGAGATGTTTATGCCGTGAGTTGTGCTCACTGAGTGATGTTTATGGTGTGAGTTGTGATCACTGAGTATGATGTTTATGCCGTGAGTTGTGCTCACTGAGTGTTGTTTATGCCGTGAGTTGTGCTTACTTAGTGATGTTGTT